AGAAGAAGAAGAAGAAGAAGAAGAAGAAGAAGAAGAAGAAAAAGAAGAAGAAGAAGAAGAAGAAGAAGAAGAAGAAGAAGAAGAAGTGATGGTGCTGGTGGAGATGGTACAGTGGAGGACGAGGAAGAGGAGGAGAAGTAGTTGTATGAGAAAAAATAACAACAATAACGGCAAAATCAACAGCAACGACAACAATCATAGCAACAACAACAACAACAACAACAATAACAACAACAACAACAGCAGCAGCAAGGACAAAAACAAAGACTTCTAATGTAAGAGCATCTGCACAGTACATTTTCAGCTTTCCTTCTAATTGAGAAAATGTTGTTACGTATGTCAGCCCATGCAACTATTCAGTTCATTCACAATCTTATTTTGCACGACTCTCGCCCTTGTAGGGCAGGAGAGGGGCGAGAATGTTATTTAAAATCCGAAATAGAAAGCTATTACCTATCTTTTTTTCTCCTTCTTTGAACTTTGTTTTGATGGAAGGATTGATCAGTATAAAAAAAAAAAAAGAAAAGTAAAGAAAAATAATATACGCAAAAAAAATAAAAATAAGGCACTGCTTGGATTGTTCACTTATTTATTATCGCCCGTTGTCGTGTCGCTGTGTTGTGTCCTTGGATTGTTCACTTATTTATTATCGCCCGTTGTCGTGTCGCTGTGTTGTGTCCTTGGATTGTTCACTTATTTATTATCGTCCGTCACCATCTACGACTCGAACTATAAGAACGTTGTTTTATTTAATAAAGCCAAATAAGCCAAGAACTTTCAAGTATGGGTCGTTCGTTTTTCTTTATGATATCCACTCTGCCAGTCGAGCCCGGGTTGGCTCTGGAAAGGAATGGTCCAAGCCTACCTCTTAAATGATCGTAATTGTGCTTCTCTTCATTCAAGTGAAACGAAACCAAAGCTAAACTGGAACTAAGTTTAAATCACTACAAAACTGATCTGAAGTCAAACGAAAGCGAATCTAAAACTTTATCTCATTTTTTCCCTTTTAAAATCGTCTCTACAACCAGCTTTCATCGTGTCAAACTGGATCGAGAGAAAACCTATTTGATTTTTCAAAAAGAAATTTTAAAAACAACATTCACATAAAACAACTCTGGTTCAATTCTTTAATGTAAGATTAATGTTAGCTTGTTGTTGCTCTTTTACGCTTGGTTTTTTTTGGGTTTTTTTTAAACTTTAAATCTTCATTCGCTTCTAATGGAAAATTATTCAAATGTTTGATGTAAGGTGATACCGTACTAATCATATAATGTATGATCAATCAAAGTGAGTGGGTGGTTGGCGGGTGCTCTGGTGTAGTTTGCTCCTTCTTTCCTATCTAACACCTGTGGTCCTTATCTCCCCTCCTTCTTTTTTTATGTTTGTTACTCCCTTGTAACACCTCTAATCTTCTCATATGGCCGTATGCAGTTGCGAGAGCCGTAAAACCTCCACTAAAGAGGTCTCGTGTGCAAGTTGCGCACGTTAAAGA